TATTTGCAACGTCATGAAACAACTGTGACTGTAAGTGCCCTCTGAGAACAAACGCACCCAGCCACCAGCAGTTTAATATACATTAAACACAGACAGCTACTGAGAGGCAAATATTTTTGTATCTCATTTAAGATCGTGGCTTTTTTAAGACTTGCTCTGACTCACCACAATATTGATTTTATCTAAAATTTGTTTTCCGTTTTAGTGTATCGCATCTCACCAGAAAAAGTATCTGCACCTGATGTATAAACACTGGTGGAGTGGGGGAACTCATTGCCATCATGGGCGATGCTATCCATTTCCACTATCTACAACTTAAAAACACTCAGCAGTCTGATAGTTTTCATTCATGACACATAATCTCAGCTGTAATCTAATTTACACCATTTATGTTTTTGCATCTCTGACACAAAATGTTCTTAATCCCCCCCAAAACCCAACATATTCTGCAAGTTTAAATTTGCTCTTCCCAAAACTATCCCCTCTATAAATCCACTTATGCTCTGATATTATAGCACAAGAACAAGAATTTCTCGTACTTCTATCTGGGTTTTGTACTGTTAGTTGATTAAAACCAAGGAATCTTTATCTCCAAAAGTTGATTCTGTTCATCTGGACGTAGCGTTTTGTGGGAGAAACGTTTCGTCACTCATCCAAGTGACTTCTTCAGTCTCAGCTGATTGCAGGTTTCCCCAAATCTTATAAACAGTGTATTTGCATAATGACTGAAACCAGCCCATTGAAGGAACAATGGGCTGGGAGGTCAGTTCCTTAATCATAATTATGCAAATTCTCATGACCATTGATCAACAACCACTGACAACAACTTTTGGAGATTTACTTCCCTGGATGATTGAGAATGCATCAAGACAAGGAATCTTTACACTAAGACATCTATTAAAAGCAATATACATTTAGTTAGTTCATAATGGAAATTACTCTTTTCAGACTTTTTTTTTTTTTATCTTTGAAACAGAAATTCATGCTGATCAGCATCTAACCACTCTGCTCACCCAAAGCAGTGTCCTGTACTGTATTTGTTTATGGAAGTCACGAGGGATTCTGCTTACATTTTTTGTGTTATGGTCAAGAGAACCCTTTGCCCTTTTCACATACCTGAGACTGAAAGTTGGCAATAGTGGTAGTCTCAATGTCTTTCTTGCCCATTATCTCCATTTTGACCGGCGTGTTGGGGAAGTTGAAGGCAAAGTAGTCCAAGAAGTCCGGTAGGTATGCAGCTGCATTGTGTACTACTGACAAGGCATATGAGGCTGCACCTTTAGGCTTTTCGGCAAAAGCCAGCTTCAGAAATTCCTGGGCAAAGCACTCCATCTCAGCCGGACTAAGACAGGCCAACTCGTCAGCATAGGCGTGCAAGATAGACCCCCCACCATTGGGTTGCCTTTCCTCGTGTATGAAGCGTCCATATCGTGTTCCTGTCTGGAGACAGGAGCTGCGGATGTAGTGGTCCTGGTGGGAGAAGAAGAAGGGGGCGTGAACCTGTTTGAGAGCATGGAGGTGGGCCGGGTAGTCGACAGCATCTCTGCCGGGATGGTGATTGCTTTCATGCTTAATGCTGCCAGGCAGAGAAGGCTCTTTTCCAACCCCTGAGCATACAGTCTGAACGGCTTTGTTGTGCATGTGTCGAACCTTCTTGACACCGTGCTCATCCTCATGATTCTTCTTCTTCTTCTTTTTTTTCTTAAGGAGATATTCTTCTAGTGTTAAAGACTTGCCATTCTCATTGTGAGGCCTTGGCTCTACAAGTAAATGAGCAGCTAAAAGTTAGAAAGAAGGATGTGCATAAAAAAGCTGTGTTTTGCTCTGATTGTTCTTTAGTCAACCCATAATGCAGCAGACTAGCAATGATGATTAAAGGGAGGTTCAGGGACATGTTTTCTGTAAGTTTTACGTATTCATTGCTTCTTTTTTTCTTATTTACTATCAAAGGATGTACACTAGGTCATTTGTATATCTACTTCATAAATTGCACTACTTAACAGCAAACATTAAAAATTGTTGTAATCAAGACACACACACATTACATGCCATTACTTGTCATTCAGATCCCCCCAACATCCATCTTAAAATGCCAACAGTCTTTAAACGAAAGTAAATAAATAAATAAATGAAAATAGCAAAGCTCACCCTTCTTTTTCTTCAGTTCGGCGTGTTTCACATTTGCTTCTTCGTTTTCCTTCTTCAGCTTTAGTTTCAGGTCCTTATCCCTGGGCTTTTCTTTGAATTCCTGGGGCTTGGCCTTGACCACTTTGAGAGGCGTGAAAGTGAAGAGCGCAGGTGGCTGTGAAGGCACCGTTTGCTTCTTCTGTAGCTGCTCCGGCACCTTTCGCGGCTGAGGCGGGGGAAAAATTGGCTTCTTCGTGCCGTTGGCGAGGCTGTGATTGTGATGGTGGCTGTGCAGGACGTGCTTGTCCGTGCTGAAGTTGTGGGGCTTGGGATTTTGCTGCAGCTGATGCGGCTGATGGATCCGGTGCTCGGCATGTTTGTGATTATGATGGTGGTGATGGAGCTTCACTTTTTTCGCTTCTTTCTCAGACCTCTCCCGTTTGTCGGCCAACGGTGACAAGTCCCTTTTCTTTTTCTTCTTCTTCTCTTTCATGAATCGCTCCAGACGATCCCTTACCATTTTGTCTTCTACTTTGGCACGGAGCAAGTCGACCTGAGCTGCCATCTTTGCACGTACAGTAGTCAACAATTTAAAGGACTCTGGGTTCCTACTGCGCAGGTCCCCGACAATATGTAGTCCTCTTGCCGTTTATTTGTAGTTCCCTTCGCTGATTTGAGTCCATTGCGCACGCGCAACGCATTGATCTGTAGGTAATGTAGTTTAAAGACGGCGCATGGCTGCATGGGAGTTGGAGTTTGGAATGTACTGAATGCGTGCGGCTTTGCACGCACTCACCTCCACTTAGCTGACGTAATGGTTAACCCACTGGAGGCGGAGCTTACACGCCACAAGGATAAACCACTGTAACAGACTCCAATTTGAGGTAGAAATATATATATTTTTAAAGTTGTCATCATAATGCAGTGGCACACCCACTCGAGGCGAAAAAAAGAGGACAAAACAAACATGTTGAATCAGTAAACCTTTATTTATCAGTGCATGAACAAAATGCCATGACCAGATTATTATTATTTCTTTTGAACCACTTTATAGCATTTCCTCTCAGTTCCCTTCCCTTAAAAAAATAATGAAACAATTTAGAGAGGATTTTTTTTCCTGCATGAAGGCAAATATTTATACAGGTGCTGTACAATTTATAAACATTTACAACTACCATGATGTAAAACTAAAAGTTTTTTTTTTATATATTTATATATATATGTATATATGTTGGAGCAATACAAGGCCACAGTATCATACATGGTAATGGCATGAACAGTAATTAATACAGTATCGCATCATAGTCACAATAAAGTGGACAATAAATTAAGCAGTGGTCTTACAGACCCACAGATGCATGTATTACTGCTTCACATCCTTATGGGTTGGGTTCAAGCAATAATTTGCTTGTGAACAGCAGTGTATAAACCACTAGGTGTCTCTACTCCACAGGAGAAACATTGGAACGATGCTACATTTTCATTTTAGAGCAGGGCAACATATCCCAATAACTTTTTTATTACACTGAATTTCTTAAAAAAAAATAAAGTTGACAAACCTTGATTGTAATTTCAAGCCAGACTCCTAAAGAAATAGTACTGCCAATTTCATGCACTATATGTTCAATCACCAAAAGGTGACATTTGGTGAATTCTTCAGGCATCTGGCTATAATGGAGCATAATATTAATACTATACTACTTAAATCATGGGGGTCCTGTACTCAAAATAATGATCAAAAATAGATATTTGTGTTGGAACCATCTGTTTTTGTGCCTATATTTATGGTTAACAAAAACACATATCTTCTAATGTTTTTAGTAAGTTAAAAGCCAGATGTCTCACTTCTTACAGTCAGCCTCTGTTAATTCAATTCATGTATAATATGAGTCGATATATGTGTAACCACTTTGTTAAATGAGATATGTTTCATTTTCAGTATAGTCGATGCTACAGTGATATTTAAAATACACAGGCCTACAAGTCAGCTTGTATACGTACACGCAGGCAGAGGACCTAAAATACAGAGCTGTGAACAGTCAGCAACTTTATGAATCAGGCTTGAATGAAATTAGATGCATAAACTGCAGTCTTTGAATGTATTCTTTTAGATGGAGATGCTTATCTACACGTTCCATTTCCACGTGAAAAGTGAAATTATGTGTACTAACTGTTCTGTGTACATTTAATTTCAATAAATTACATTATGCTTTATTTTCATTAACACACATATAACAAACATTAGAACTATAACCACAAGTATCTGGTCTGCTGATTTATGCATATAAAGCTCCAGGGTAGTCTTTCCGTTCTCTGATATGCTAAGGGGATTCATGTCTTCGCGTGTATGAATGCAGTCACGCAGACGATTCACGACTCTAGTCGGTCTCAAAAAACAAACCATAAAGGACTTACGAGACAGTTTCGCTTTTAAGACGGCAATCAGAGAAAATCACAAGTCTCCGTTTTGAAAACATCCATTTGTGACAGCAACAGTGAGTTAGTCTCACCTGGAAGAAAAGCTGTGAGTGCATGTGTATGCCTTTAAACCTTCAAACGTGACACACGTAATAAAAAAAACCCAAAACAAACAAACAAAAAAAATCTGGATCCTTCATCGTGGTGGGGAGGAGAGCAGTTTATCCCAAAAACCCCACAAACAGTCTCACAGTGAGTGCAATTAGGAGCAGCTTCTTTATATTACCGGAGTCTCTGATTGGCACAAAATAGACGTCATTGTTACTTCCAAATACCACACTCAGAATCCATGTGTTACACACATGCTTACACATCATTATACAGTACAAATTCTCATGTAGGTACAACGTGTGTCGGATCAGATATCAGCAGCTTGATGCAAACTGATGTAGGCAAACTGGTTGGAGGAAAAAATAATAATCAGGAGCAATGAGAAGCTATGTTGCTGGTCGCACAGTGATCTGCTATGTCAGACATGTCTGAAAAAAAATAATCCTTCAATTCTGAATTCATGTTTGTGGCTCAGCTTTTTCTTTATATATGCAGAGTCCTGGCAGGGTTTCAGATATCTGCATATGTGGTGTCCACTCGGGACTGGATCTTGGCAGAACTGGGAACTTTCCACGGGCCCGGGGTGATGGGACCCTTCTTGCTGGTAGTGTTCCCATTGCAGCTGGGGTCTGGGATGCTACTGTTTGAACCTCGTGGGTCCTTTTTATTCACTTCTTCAGTTGAACCGTGGTACTTGCCATCTCGATGCTCCTTGTCCCGTTTGTCTCTTCCGGTCTTTCGGCTCAGTGTGCCACCATCAGCGTCTGACCCCACCCTCTCCCTGTATGCTTGGGAGTTGGATTTTTGGGCCAGTGCCTCTTGCTCAGCCCTCTTTGCCTTTCTGTAGTAATCAGTGGTTCCCCAGGTTTTGTCTCCACTCTCTGTAGCTCCTCTTTCCTGCCAGTAAGCTGAATCAGTCTGTTTGTACCTCAGGTCCTTCTCTTCTCCAGAGGCAATATTGGGCTTTTGGCCAGCTGGGCGCCTGGGGCTGTGAGGCTCCTCCAGGTTGCTCAAAGGCACGGCAGGGTCACGTTCCCACTTGGAGCCTCTCTGTCCCTGGGCTTTTCTGTCCTTGCTCATGTCCTCCAGGGATCCGCTGTGGCCTTGGTCTGTTTTTCGAGGGCTCTGGGAGCGATCTACGTGCTCCCTTTGGCCTTCAGTGGCTCTTTTGGGGCTACCACTTGCGGAGTCGCTCCTGCTTGTTTTATTGGTCTGGGTGCTTGGGCTGGTGGTGCGCTTATGGTTAGGGTCAGAGATCTGCTGTCCTCTTGGTTTGTTAGCCTGCCTACCATGCTCCCTCGCAGCACCAGGGGACCCACGTTCTATGCCGTCACCCCCAGGGAACTCATCAGGGGCAGATATTTTGGGTGAGGATGGGGAAAGTTCAGAGGTAGAGAGGGAGACAGAGGATGGAGAAGCTGGAGATGACTGCCCGTCAGATACAGAGAATCTGGGAAAGCTTGAGGTTGGAATGGTTACTTTGTCCTTTGAACCTACGAAGCAAGCAGCAGATAGTAAGAAAAAAAAGTTTGAGCTAAGCAAAAAAACTGCTATGTGAAAGCAAAGAAACTGCAGAAGCTTAAAAAAAAAAAAATCATAACGAGATATTTTCGCACATTCAACAAAGATTAAAGATGATTAAATAAGTCATACAATAGAAGCGCGATATGCTCAGTTTTTGGAAAAAAAAGATTTTTTCCGTCTACCACACTTTCTGTAATAGTCCTTTGTAATAGCCCCCTCTAATATATTTGCCTTGTTTGAGATGTGTATCAGCTGACGACGTAGCTATCAATGAAAAGGTGCTAGAGTTCACTCAGCACTGACGTTTCAATTTTCCCCAGAGCTGATAAGAACTGCACAGCTGTAGTTGAGAGCAGATATATGCAGCAGAAAAAAAAACAGAGAGAGAAAAGGGAGCGTGATGGACTTAGAGGTGCTGAAATGAGCTTTTGGATTTCTAAGAGCAACAACTCAGAGAAATTCATTCAAATAATTTGGTCTTCGGATTGAAAGATTGATGCCAGTGAATAAACACAGATCCTTTTTACCACTTTTCCACTCGCTGATCAATATCTGGTTAAGAACTTCTCTCCAGGCCTCCATCTTCACTCAAACTAAGGACGCAGTGAGTGTTCAGTGGCATCTTGTTTTGTAATACCCTTAAAAAATAACCCGTGGGGCTCAGAAGCCTTCCAATGCTCCTGCAGGCCTGTTTGTTCTTCTAGGACTCACTGCTTTAGTTCAGCCCTCTGGATAGTCTGGTTATGCTGTAATACATTAGGTGATTACTGAGCTACAACGAACTGATCTATTCAGGCTGATCATGGGGGATGACATAGTGGATAGAGAATAACACTTTAATTTGGGAGTTAAATCACTCTGAAAGGAGAGTTCTAAGACAAAAGTAGGTGGAGTACAAGGATTACCAATGTTATTAGGGACAGACCAAGAAAAGCAGTGAGGCCTTTAGTGATGCTCTGGTTTCATGTAGAAGCACAGGGTGGAAGAAGAGTTCAGACCTATAGAAGGAAGAGATAAAAGTAGAAATAGACAGCCGTGCTAGAGCAGAAAACAGAGAAAGCAAGGCAGATAAAGGCAGATCCAAATAGCAGTAGTAAAACAGAATGAGAAGAGAGAAAAGTCAAGAAAGCTTGCAACACATGCATGAGAAAAAGGAAACTCGGCACCCTGCTATCTAGCATATCCATACAAAAGCTTCTCTATATGTATGACTAATAAGCTATTAAGTAGATCTATATGCAGCGGCGACAACATGCACGCAGTGCTCTGCAATAACTCACTGTGATCCGGGACCAAGCCCTGGCCAGGTCGGAGAAGTAGATGAACTTTATTGCCTCCTGCTTGGATCAGCTCAATTGCCCGAGTGTGTGTAATGCCCTGTGTGGCCTCGCCATTGATCTCCACTATTTGATCTCCAACCTGACAAATAATAATAAAAGAAAAAAAAATCGATTAACATGAACTTTTCCACTGCTAGGGCTCATTTTGCCCGAGGTACAGTGCTCTGTGAGAAACTCAATAAAGCTTTGATTAGGAACTACTGCACTTCAATAAAGCGGACAAAGAAAACATACGTGTATCCTGCCATCTTTAAGAGCGGGTCCCTCCTCGGCCAGTCGAAGAATGAACAGCCCCATGTTATACTCTTTCCCTCCTCTCAGGCTGAAGCCGAAGCCTCTCTGGCTGCGTTCCAGCTCCACCACAAAGCAGCCCTGTTGTTCACAAGAAAGATTGCGAGCTTTTAAGACTGAAGCAATTGATGCAAAATCATTCCTGAGGTGGGAATGAATCTGGAAAATCTATTACTTGGCTGATATACATCACGATCAAGAGTTTCTGGGGATCAATTGACACCAGGGCAGAATGACAAGATTACAAACATAAAATACTACAACTGGGGAAATATAAACATCAAGCATCGGCCTCACCTGCTTAGGGCCCGATGGAATGAGAGTTCCTGTCCCATCTCTTGGTGAAAGATGATTCTTAGCCTCGGAGTCACCATTCCTACCCCAGAGAAGATGCATTACAGTGTAATTTACTATAATATGACACTAAATATTTACTATATTTAGAAAACAATATTTCAAAGACATGAAATAGACGTCGTTTATTATGAAAATTTGAGTCAGTAAACGGTTATTCTGACGAGGTAGACTGTGATATGTTATGCGCAATATTCCTACCAAATATAATAAGAAGCAACTATGGTGGCAGTTTAATAGTGAGGGAAACACAGCCCTTTGTATAACCCAGGTAAACTAGATGAGTATTAGCTGTTTGCTAATCCACTGGCATTTATAAAGGCCAATAAATGAAAACTAAAAAGAAAAGAAGAAACACCCTTTAACCATCTTATGAGTGTTGACATTGCAGGTCTATCAGAGGGCACTCTGGCAACCAACATGCTTGAAATGCCACAAACACAACTGATCCCAGCAAACTGGGCAGAGCATAAACGAGTAAACAAATAAGGTAACAAATATCAGGGGAATCTGTTTATGCCTCATGTGTCTGAAAGAAAAAAGAATCGATCGAAAATATATCAGAATATCAGGATTTTAAATCACTAAAAAACACACACACACACACACATATACACGGACACACTAAAATATCAACATTGGCCTTAAAAATCTAATTCTAATGAAAACCCATAAAATGCATGTGTTCAGTGCTCTCGTACATACATGCCTGTACCACCAGCTTATTCAAATGTAATATTAGTAACAATGTTTTTAATCATATCCTATTTTAAATATAGAATCAGAGAGCAAAAACATAAAAGGAGAAAAGGAGTCTAATTCTGTTCCCTCTCTGCTGTGTCCAGTGTGAGATCCACACATTGCTCCTCCTTCATTACAGCAGCGTGAGCCTCTTTTTGTTGGCTTCATTATGCAACACGCAGAGAAATGTAAATTCTTCAAAGAACCATGTTGCTTTTACATTTCAGTGATAGATAAGGGGGCATACTTTAATGCTTCGCAGAGCTCATTACAATGCCTTTGTGAGAACTTCGCTGTGCTGACGCACTATATAAAGAGCGTAGGAATTCTTACCAGCTCTAGCTTTCAGAAGAGTTTGCACACTTTATGCCACCGAGCTGAGAGCTTCAGCTCATATCTGAGCCTAGTGTGACCCAAGGCATGTTGGTGATTAAGCGGAGAGGAAGAGGCTGAGGAC